TAACCACTTAGGGCATCTCAATGAATAAGTTTGTTTTGGATAATCAACCAGTACTTGTATTTAAGAAACTTGGTTAGAATCTTTTTATTCAAAACATGTGGATGTGGTATGTAATTGGCCATCTTGGTAACAGGAAAATATTATTTTCCTATTTTCTAATGTTGTTCTTGGAGCAGTAGCATAAGATCAATAGTGCATTTCATCAGCCTTAGTTGTAACAATGTTTAGTCCCTTCCCTGCTGGCTTGAACAATAGATGCATGTGTGTCCATTACCGTCCCACTTAAAATGAATCACTTTTTTCCAGATCATTATTTGTTATCGTGACAGCTCTCTGGTCAAGGCATTTGGATGATATTTGCAATATGTTTTTAAAAATGTCCCTTAGAATTGGGTTATTTTTAATTTGAGCTGTATTTAGTCTAAACTAAACAAATTAAATTCCCTTTGAAATTTGGAAATTTCCCTTGTGGGGAAACTTTGTCCAGATTTATTGCGGCTAATGAATGTGATAGGAATTTAGTGAAGCTCTGAGCTCTGTGACAGACCATATCATATTTGGCTGCTCGGTTTGCAGTTGGAATTTTCTCCCTTGTGCAAATCTTTCAGCTGTCCCTATGATCAAAGAAATACAGGAGGGACAGGATTGTGCTGCCAGATATAAACAGTGAAGGATATGACTGGATGTAGAGTCATAACAGCCATTAGGAGCAGACCGTTAAGCTTATTATGACCTTGCCTACTCTCTGTAGAGCAATCAAGTCAGTCCCAATCCCTGTGGCCCTGCAAACTAATTTCCCTCGAATGCCAAGCCAATTTCTAGCGCCATCATGGGAAGTGATTTCCCAAGTCATTGTCACTGGTGTGTAAGTTGTTCCGTGAGTTTTCTCTTTGAGCAATACCATACCACGCAGCCAGAACCTTAAATCTGTATCTTTGTCCTTGTATGATCACCTAATAGTGGCTTTTCTTTGTTTTGCAAATCTGCTGTAATCTTGAATTCCTCCATTAAATCTTCCTCCAGTCTCCTTTGCTCTGAGGACAGCAGATGGAATTTCCTCATTTCCATACTCGTATCCATCTTAAATGGGAGACTCTTTTTTTAAGTTGTCAAGAGCAACTATCCCCCAACCCATCTAGTCCCCTCAAATCGTAAATGTTTCAATAACATTAGCTATCGTTGTTTAAACTCTATGGGTATCAATCCAATCTGATCAACCATTTTTTTCATAAGATGAGGTTGAATTAATGACTCCAGAAAATATTTATGGCCAATTTTGAGAGAAATTCCAGATGAATGACAATAGTACATCAGTGTGCACGCTCAATTAGTGCATGCTGTCTCTCTCCTCCTCCTCTCCCCACAACCAAAACCTCCCCCAAGTGACATCTCTTCAGTATCTGTTCCCAACAAGGAGTGAGTCTGTTGGATGGTGCTAGAGAAGGAAGTCTTTCACTTTAGATAGGAGCAGACTAGGAAGGACTGGATGAAATATAAAAATGTTTTCAAAATCGTATGCGCAAGCACACCAAGCATGGTGAATGAGTTTACTGAGCGTGGGGGAAGGAACGTGATGTGATGCCCACGATGGAAATATGCCTTAAAACAAAGGATTGGTGCTTGATATTGGAAGATGTTAAGGCCTCCCAATGCAAGGGGCCTTAAGCTCAGGCAGCAATGGGCACCATAGAGCTGTGTCCCTTGCCGTCAAGCTCCTTCCTCTACTTGCTGAGTTCTCACCCAGGGATCAGTGAGCGTTTTGTGGAGCGGTAGTAGTGTCCCCACCTAATGTCCACTTTCTAACTTTGATAGGGAAATCCTATTGCCATACAGAGTAAAGTTTCAGAATTTGCTGATTATACCAAATGTTGGCAGAGGTGAAGGAACAGGAGGATACCAGTGGACGGCAACAGTGTGTCCTTTGCTTTCTCTTCAACAGTTGGTGGTCTTAAATCAAAAAATGGAAACATCCACACCTGCAATGTCTTAAAAACAGATGAACAAAAAGCAGAATCAGGTGTCTGTGCACTTTCAGCCCAGATGTCTCAGCTGGGTATCCAAACAGAGATATTACATGCTTTTCTTCTCTGAATGTGAGCGGTGTGTATAAAACCATCTAACCTGTGAGAAAGAGAGGCTTAAAATGCTTTACAGCCATGAAACACTTCTGAAGATGAATTACTGTTGTAAAGATGAGAGCAGCCTACCTGCTCACAGCAAACAGCAATGCATTAATGACCAGATTGCCTGCTTTGTTTTTTGAGATGTTGGTTGATTGCTCAGTATTGCCCATCAGCACCGTGGATAGCTCCCCTTTGAATAATGCTGGAGATCAAAGTGCACATCTTTGCCTGTGCCTGTGGATTAGTTCGCAATATTCTGGCACTCCACAATGGATCATCCTCCATTAATAACGGTCACCTCAGGCCTGTCCTCCATCCCTGGCTCTGGTTCCTTTGTATCCGCCCAAGAGGGCAAGACAGGGCATTGATTAACATTGCATCTAAAAGCCAATCCAACAGTGCGGCCCTCTTTCATTGCCAGCTTGTGCGCTGCAGTCATGGAGTGGGATTTGAACCTGCAATTTTCTGACTTGGCAAGAGTATTCCCATCAGAGCCAGGATTGACACTTCTTTCATCGAGACAACTTGTGTAATTTGTCTTGGTTAGGCAGTTGCTTGCGGTCTTTTGTTTTTGTGTTTCCCTTGCTAAACTGATGAAAACAAAACTTTTTAAAAGTCCAAGGGAGAACGTGTGACTGGGTTAAGAATGAAAGATACAGTCGATTAGAGTATGAGACTTCTAGGTGGTGAGTGCATTGTTGGTAGACAGGGCAATGCTGACTGGAGTCCAGCATGGGTTGGTATTCAGACCCTTCACTTCTACCTGCAGAAGTGACTGGCTGTTGCAGTCACAGCCAGTTTGGCCGTGCAGTGGGAATCCAGAATGATTTGAAGTTTTAGAGATAGTAGGAACTGCAGATGCTGGAGAATCCGAGACAACAAGGTGCAGGGCTGGATGAACACAGCAGGCCAAGCAGCATCATAGGAGCAGAGAGGCTGACGTTTCGGGCCTAGACCCTTCATCAGAAAAGGGGGAGGGGAAGGGGGTTTTGAAATAAATAGGGAGAGAGTGGGAGGCGGATAGAAGAGGGATAGAGGAGAGGATAGGTGGAGAGGAAACAAACAGGTCGAAGAGGCGGGGATGGGGCCAGGAAAGGTGAGTGTAGGTAGGGAGTTAGGAAGGGGATAGGTCAGTCCAGGGAGGACGGACAGGTCAAGGGGGCGGGATGAGGTTGGTCGGTAGGAGATGGAGGTGCGGCTTGAGGTGGGAGGAGGGGATAGGTGGGAGGAAGAACAGGTTAGGGAGGCAGGGACGAGCTGGACTGGTTTTGGGATGCGGTAGGGGGAGGGGAGATTTTGAAACTTGTGAAATCCACATTGATACCATTGGGCTGCAGGGTTCCCAAGCGGAATATGAGTTGCTGTTCCTGCAACCTTCGGGTGGCATCGTTGTGGCACTGCAGGAGGCCCAGGATGGACATGTCGTCTGAGGAATGGGAGGGGGAGTTGAAATGGTTCGCGACTGGGAGGTGCAGTTGTTTGTTGCGAACCGAGCGTAGGTGTTCTGCAAAGCGGTCCCCGAGTCTCCGCTTGGTTTCCCCGATGTAGAGGAAGCCACACCGGGTACAGCGGATGCAGTATACCACATTGGCAGATGTGCAGGTGAACATCTGCTTGATGTGGAAAGTCTTCTTGGGGCCTGGGATGGGGGTGAGGGAGGAGGT